GGCCGGAGGGGAGTTGCGGGGGGCGGTGCGGTTGGGGTCACAGCACGCAGCGTCACCTTGTGCAGCAGCTCCTTGCTGCCTGTGTCATGTACCCGCAGGAAGCGATCCAGCCCACAGGAAGCTACCAGGGGCAGGCTGCAATGACACTGGATACTGCGGATACTCCCGGCCTGGCCCTTCAGGCACTTGAGCAGCCTCCCTGCAGGCAACCAGAGACAAGATGGTCAGCAATGCCCCATCAGACCCGACTCTCCCGCCATCATCTTCCTCGTACCTGCCAGGCTCTGCCCGGCTGATGGTGCTGGAACGGGCACCATCTGTCAACTCCTCAGCATCTCTGAATATTCACAACACTCCAAATAATATCGACTTCTTTGTGTTTCCAACTCACCCAGTGGTGGGTGGTGAGAAATGGAGAGGGCCTCCAGGCCAGCCACGCTTACTTAGCACAATACCAGGCTCTGGTGTCAGGGTGTAGGCCCGTTCTGGGAGGAGAAAGCTAAGTGCTACAAAAGCGAGCACATCATTTTTGGGCCTTGTGTCGCTCCAGGCACTGGAAGTCTTCCAAGTATCTCTCCATTCATCCTATTGAATCTGCTTCCACTGCCCTTTTGCACAGTTTATTGTTCCTATTGAACAGGGTCTGTATTAGAATCACATAGATGTGCAGCACAGAAACAGATCCTTTGGTCCAACTTGTCCATGCCAACCAGATAATCCTGAATTTGCCAGCATTTGGCCCTTATCGGTCTGAACCCTTCTATTCACGTACCCATCCAGATGCCTTTTAAATTTTGTAATTGTACCAGCCTCCACCACTTCCTCTGGCAGCTCCTTCCATTCATGGACCACCCTCTGCATGAAAAAGTTGCCCCTCAGGTCCCTTTTAAATATTTTCCTTCTCACCTTAAACCTATGCCCCTCTAGTTTTGGACTCCCTCACCCTGGGGAAAAGACCTTGGCTATTCACCCTATCCATGCCCCTCATGATTTTATAAACCTCTATAAAAGGTCACCCCTCAGCCTCCGACGCTCCAGGAAAGATAGCCCCAGCTTATTCAGCCTTTCCCTGTAGCTCAAACCCTCCAATCCTGGCAACATCCTCGTAAATCTTTTCTGAACCCTTTCAAGTTTCACAACATCCTTCCTATAGCAGGGAGACCAGAATTGAACGCAGTGTTGCAAAAGTGGCCTCACCAATATCCTGTACAGCTACAACATGACCTCCCAACTCCTACACTCAATGCTCTGACCAATAAAGGCAAGCATACCAAGAACCTTCACTATGCTGTCTACCTGTGACTCCACTTTCAAGGAACTACGAACCTGCACCCCAAGGTCTCTTTGTTCAGCAACACTCCCCAGGACCTCACCATTAAGTGTATAAGCCCTGCCCTGATTTGCCTTTCCAAAATGCAGCATCTCACATTTATATAAATTAAACTCCATCTGCCACTCCTCGGCCCATTGGCCCATCTGATCAAGGTCCTGTTGTCCTCTGAAGTAACCTCCTTCACTGTCCACTACAATTTTGGAGTCGTCTGCAAACTGACTAACCATTCCTCCTGCATTCACGTCCAAATCATTTATATGAATTTTCATGTCAATAGGATCTACGTGCGTTCCAGGTATGGCCTCCTCCTGTTTCTGTGTGACAGGATTGATGGGAGGCTGATCGGCTCTCCTCCTCTCCCTGTCTAGCAGGCACCAGTGGGGCTGAATGGCCTTTGCATTTCTGTCCAATAGGGCTGAATAGCCTCCTCTTGTTCTTACAGTTAGCCCGTTCAGGATATTACATGAGAAAGGCACACTCCTTTCTGCTGGGAACTGGTCAGGCCAAGCCTGGGAATCGGGAACGAGCCCCCCTCACCTTTCCGGATATCCAGGACAGCCATCTGTCCATGCGTGTTACCCACGACAACCGAACTGCAGGAGGAAAACGGCATGTTTAGTGACACGGTGATGCTGTCACGATCCACTCCAGCTCCCCTTTCCCGACCTTATCCCAACTTGTCACCATGGTGACCACCTGGCCTCTATCTCCTTGGCTCCGAGGAGAACGACCCCCAGGAAACACTACCCCCCGATCTCACCCCTGGGACTGTTCTGGTCAAGTGCACCTTCCTCGGGGAGCCTCACCTCTGCCCGAAACCCAGCGAGCAGCCCCTTCCTGAGGGAGCGTCACCTCTGCCCGAAACCCAGCGAGCAGCCCCTTCCTGAGGGAGCGTCACCTCTGCCCAAAACCCAGCGAGCAGCCCCTCCTGAGGAAGGCAGGACAGGCAGTATTTCCGGAGCTCCTGAAAACAAACGGAATAGGACGGACTGGAATTCTCAGTCTGGCCCAGTGGGAGCAGCACATTTCCATCTTTGGACCATAAATCCACCCTCACAACCAATGGCAAATTTCGGTGTGAATTATTCTGTAAGCGGCAGAACCTTTAGCAACACTGACATACAGACAGATCTGGGCGTGCAGTTCCACAGTTCCCTAAAAGTGGCAACACAGGTGGCCATGGTGAAGAAGGCGGCACATGGCAGGCTTGCCTTCATCGGCCGGGGCATGGAGTACAGGTTGGCAAACCATGTTGCAGCTTGTTAGGCCGCATTTGGAGTATTGTGTGCAGTTTTGGTCACCACGTTACCAGAAGGAAGTGGAAGCTTTGGACAGAGTACAGAGAAGGTTCACCAGGATGTTGCCAAGTATCAAGGGCACTGGCTATGACGAGAAGTTAAAAAGACTAGGATTGCTTTCATTGGAAAGAGGGCGACTGAGAGGAGACCTGATAGAGGTCAACAAAATTCTGAGAGGCATTGATAGGGTGGATAGTCAGAGGCTTTTTCCCAGGGTTGAAGTTTCAATTACAAGGGGGCATAGGTTCAAGGTGAGAGGGGGAAAGTTTAAGGGAGACATGTGAAGGATGTATTTCAGACAGAGTGGTAGGAGCCTGGAATGCACTGCCAGAGGTGGTGGCGGAAGCAGGCATGTTGGCGACATTTAAGAGGCATCTGGATGGTTACATGAATAGGGGGGGAATAGAGGGATACAGACCAAATAAGGGCAGAAGGTTTCTTTTAGTTTAGTCAGGACAAGATGATTGGCACAGGCTCGGTGGGCCGAAGGGCCTGTTCCTGTGCTGTACTTCTCTTCTGTTCTTGTTCAAGACTGCAATCCCTGCATGCATTCCCATTCTGGGATCTTACTGTGCAGAAGAGCGCTACTGGGCTCCTGACATTGGAAAAGTGACTATATGTCTCATACTACCATCAAGGACAGGCTAACACTACATCAGATGTTATGTAACCATATGCTGCCCTGTTACTTACCTTACAATCAAACCCTCCCAGGACAGGGTAAGCACGGGGTTAGATACAGAGTACAGCTCCCTCTACACTGACCCCATCAAACACTCCCCAGGACAGGGACAGCACGGGGTTAGATACAGAGTACAGCTCCCTCGACACTGTCCCCCATCAAACACTCCCCAGGACAGGGACAGCACGGGGTTAGATACAGAGTACAGCTCCCTCTACACTGTCCCCCATCAAACACTCCCCAGGACAGGGACAGCACGGGGTTAGATACAGAGTAAAGCTCTCTCTACAGTGTGCCCCATCAAACACTCCCCAGGACAGGGACAGCATGGGGTTAGATACAGAGTAAAGCTCTCTCTACACTCACTTGGCATCAGATGTCAAGGACATGGCAGTTAACGGGTATTCGTCATATGTCATCTCCAGAACGGGTCTGCGCTGTGGACAGCTCGGGTCATAGATTCGTACCTGTAGGAATTGGAAGATCAATAACACTGAAACACATCTAACACTAGGTTATCACATGGGCAGGGGACAGGTCTGTCACTGTGTAACACTGGGGTACAGTACCGGTGG